CAGCAGGAACAGGAAGTGCTTTCTTTCATCCCATGGTTTTCAGCCAGGGTTTCTAACATTTACAAAAGCCATGACCTTATTTCTTCCACCCAGAACTCAGCATATTATAGAATTAAGCTCATTTTTGTTTTAATAAGTATTCAGAGTACATGAGGAGCTCAATCTACCCCAAATATTTACACTTATTATGGTTGTACTGAAAGATGCAATCAGGATTGGGCTCTTGCTGTACAAATAAGGGAAGATTCCTACCTGCCTGGAAAATAATCCAAAGAGAATAACTAATGTATATGCAAATCCTTCTCTGCTTAAATTGCTTCAAAACTGGTTGCCTCCAAAGTAAATATCTTGCAAGCTGCTGTTTTCTGATTTCCACTCCTGGCTGAGAGAAGCTAAGCATTTTCTTTTACCTTCTTCAAATTAATAATTCTGCTTAGGCTTGACAGAAGAAAAGTATTTTGGGCTGTTGGTTTATTATGTTTCATTTTCTTGCACTAATACTTAGCTGCTTCTCTGGAAAAACATCTGTAAGTACTAAAGTGGTTACCAATGAAAATACTGCCACCAATGTTAGTACTACTCTCAGGGCTTTAAACCAGCTGGGATAAGTAGGAAGAAAGGCAAGATCATAATGTAATGCTATCCCTAATCCAATTATCACCGTAATTGCAGCTTGAGTGAGGTCATCTTTAAAAAGTATGGCAAACCAAGCTATTAAAGGAGGAACTACACTGTTACCTAAGTTCATCCAATCGGGATTAGCTGGGCTATTTTGGGGGAGGGCAAATCCCCACCTGGCTCCTCCTAGAAAAGAGAGGATAGAGGCCCCATATGTAATTTGAGCAAATGCCAACTCGGGGTAGTAGGTCTGTTGGGCAGCCATTATCAGTGGCACCGAAACAAATGGAATCAGTCCTGCAAGGCCCAGGTAAATAGCAGGCTTCGGTGAGTCTTTTAGTGACTTCATATCATTGCGCACAAGCCCCGGTTGTTCAGGTTCTGGTTCTTTTGGTTTCTTTTTCTTTAAGCAGCGGAGAGAGCAGTGGAACCCCTGGGCCTTGGTTACACAGGCTGAGGCCTGGCTGAGGAGCTGAAATCTCGACGGACGGGAAAGAATTCTCTGCGGAGAGAGACTGGGAGGAGAACAGCAGATGGTCTTATTCCATCTATACTGTAGCTGTCTGTGAAGGGTCAACTTCTGGAGCTGCAATTACAAAATGTATTAGGAGCATCTGACCAAGTATTTGTTAGCCTAGAGAGCTGATTAGTTACTCCCTACACACAACTTAGCAGATTTCCACAACTGCACTATATAGTCTGTTAATTGGAGGTTTGTAAAGAGATTGTATTCCTTCTCCACTTAAAGAGCACTGCTGCTTTTATATGATGTTGACACTGCAACACAAGCAACAGCAAACTTTTCACTGAGGTTACAGAAATAACCCTTCTGCCCTGTTTTTGACGTGGCAGTATCCTGCAAAGAGATTATCTGCACTTGTGCTCTTTTTTGCTGCTTTAGGGTGAATAAGGAAATCCTGAAAGGTTTCCTGTAACTACTTTCCCAGCTTGTCTTTTCACAGTGCAAGTTCCAAGCCCCTGGAGGGTAGACATTAAGGATGCTAAGAGTTGGGTAATTTGCAAATCATGTAGTTGATCAAATTTTTATGGACTACATGATGAGATAAGGGAAGAAGTACTCAGTCCTGGTGCTGGATCCAGGAGCTACTCCCTGTCCCCCCACTGTGGCTCTGCAGTTTAAATGTAGTAAGAGCGGGGCAGGCAGGTAGCTGGGATCCCCTGCAGACAGGGGCTGCTGCTGGAACAGCCTCCTGTCAGATGGCACTGCGGAGACAGTGCTGGGGAGAGAACTGGCTTTTAAGTTGGCTCCCGCTCCTCCCCTTGCTGCCTCTGATATGGGAGGAAATGTGATTAATCAACTACTCGATTACATCCTTAGTAGACATTTCTATCATAAGTAGGGAACTAATGCAATGAGATCATGAGAGCCAACAACACAGAGCAACTGAAAGGGAACAGGATTTTTAGACACTTTTAAAAACTTCTCTTTAAACATCTTGTTATGTTTAATTCACTAAGATTTCTGATAAAACAGCCCTGCACAAAATTACTCTCCCTGTTGAAATTTCATGTTTTACAACAGGCCTGGGTAAAATACGGCCCATGGGCCAAATCCAGCCTACCCATCTAGGCTCCCCACTTGCCTTGCCCCACCTGCATGCCACTCAAGCTGGCTGCAGGGTGGTTTTTCTTTAAAAACTGTTGAGTCCCCAGTGGTGGTGGGGGGAAGCTTTAGGAGCTGTTCCTGTCCCCAGCACAATCCCATTGGCCGATTTCTGGCCAGAAACTGGCCAATGGCAGCTGCCCATTTCAATAACAGGCAGCCATGAAGCACAAGGGGCTCCAGAGCACATAGCTAGAGCCTGTGCTGGGATGGGGCAGGAAGGAAGACTGATTCAGGAACAGGCTGCTGGCTGGTAAGTCTCCTGGCCAGTCCAGTCTGACACCCCACTGTATCAGTTCTTAGATCTTCCCCCTCTCCCCCCCAAAAGCCTCTCCCCCTACTCCACATACCCAAATCCTCTGCCCCCCTCTTGTATCCCAATTCCCTGCCCTATGTCACAATCCAACCCCCTGCATGCCAGTCCAGTGTCCCAGGTCACAACTGGCTCCTTCACCCAAACTCCTTCCCTTGCTTCAAGTTCCCTTCTGCACCCAAACTCCATCCCAGAGCCTGCACCTCCTCTATTAACATCATGGAAAAGTGCAGCCCTCGACCACTTCCACATTCTTGGAGTGGCCCCCCCATCAAAAATGATTGCCAACCCCTGAGATAAAAGAAAGTCTGTGTTAATTGTTAAGGTGAAGGCCCTCTTACAAAAACTGACATTTTTGAAGGTGTAGGGGAAGCAGCACAACACCTTTCTGCCTTCTTTATATTCAATCAAAAGACAGCAGCTACATAACTTTTAAAAAATACTTTGCAGATTCTGGCCTAATAGTATGGAGACCCTGTCATCACCATCATGTTGCAGCTGTTTCAATGAAAAGGAATTTTGTGGTGCTTATATGATCCATACTGTCCCTTTAAGTTCTGACCATAGTTACACCCCATGAAATCCCACCAACTTCACTAAGATTATGGAGCCATAACCGAAGGAAGGATTTGGCCCTTTAATATTCTTAGCTGTCAAGTACCACTGAAAAAACATATCAGTAAGCCTAATAAATCAATGTAGGTGAGCTGAGGTCTAACGCCATGCAAAAGTCAGGGAAAAAATCATTGACTAACTTTAAACATTAGAAAAGTTCCTTTGGAAAACACTAAATCTGATAAAAATGAAGCCTCAGTCTGCTGTAAAATATGAGCCAACTGTGTTTTATACTATACCCAAAATTATTTGTCGTCTTATTTTGTAAAAAGCTATTTCAGGATAAAATAATGCATTCAAAACTTACATTTAAAGGTATTTGGAAACAACATCGCTGTACAAGGTGAAACATTTTTGCTTAGCAGAAGGCCCTATGGGATGAAGAAAAAAATGTTAGGAGATGTCATTTAATGACAGCTATACTAAGTAGACTATCCAAGTTTAGAGCATGTCTAGTATAAGTTACTACAACAATTTATTTTCCATATTATATTAGAGTAAGAGTCAGAACCATTTTGTTTTATAAATTAGAGGAAGCAGATGGAGACTATGACTTTTTTTAAATCACTATACAGCTAATAACATTTTTGTCTGTATTCTAGCCAACTAATTATATTTAACTTTTACAGGGTTGTTTTCAAATCACTTTACAAGTTAAGGCCATTATCTTGTAATGCTGTTTTTGGGGAGGTTTTTTTGTTTTTGTTTTCCAAATCAAGGCCAAAGTATGTCTCAAGGCACCCATGAAGTAGGTAAATGTCTCCATTTTACAGTATAAATGGTTTGTGGAGGCCATACAGGTGGTTGATGGCACAGCTGGATTTAGAATTCCTTTTCCCAGCCCCAAATTGAATCCACTAATCCTACCCCCCAAAATCCTCTAAAGGTTGGAAGTTTCTATATTATCCACTGTTCCCTTAAGAACACAGAGGTGATGCCGTGATTGGATAAAAGGATGTTTGAAATGGGTCCACGGTGTATTACAGAAGTAGCTTGAAGTTCCCAGCAAGCCTGGCCCCCGCTGGAGAAAGGAAGAGTTTACAAGCTGAAGAACCAACCCGGCCAAAGGAAGACTCCTGGAGGAGAAAATCAGTCACTTGCCCAGAGAGCCTGTGGCAGAGCGTTCCAGGAAAGCAAGCCCTGTTTGCACAGGCAGAGCCGCTCCTCTCTTTGGGGCGCCCAACACCCCCAGCTGCCTCCGGGGGGATCACTCACCTGCCCCAGGCAGCTTCCCGTGCTGCAGACAGGCTGCAGCATCCGGCAGGAGGGGCAGGCTTCCAGTGTGCGCTGGGTATAGAGCCCCAGCCCGGAACAACACGGGCCGGCCGCTCTAGTTCCGCTTTGGCTGCGAAACAGCGACTCCAACTCCCCAGACGTGTCTGTTTTAGTTTCCTGGCGTGACCAAAATCCCCCTTTGCCCTGGCGCTCAGCAGTCAGGAGGGTGGGAGTGGCAGGGTTAACAGGCATCAAGTCTAACGGGAGGAGAAATTGCATTACAGAAATACAAGGGTGTCTCTCCCCTATTGAAAAAGTCTGATTGCGGGCAGTTTATGCTGAACGTATGTTAGGCAGTGTAAGTGTTCCCACCGAGGGACCATCAGCGCTGCCAAACGTTCAAAAAGCAAAGCTCCTTCCACCCCCTCCAAAAAAAATCAAGGAACAGGGAAGCCACATGCATATGTGCAGGATCAGAGCTGGGGTGGGCCTGGTGGGTGCTACTGAAGGCGACACCCCCGCTTTGTAGTCTCACTTATTTAAATGAAGCAAAATACCCCAGACTAACACGGCTAAATTTCTATCATTATTTAAATGAAACCTGCATGCAGTCCTGAGTAAGCAGAACGCATGTAGCATGCAGTAGTCAAACCCCACCTTTGCAGCTGCAGCTACAGTAACAATGAGCACACATGCTTTTACATGTTCAGAAGACTACCCGGACGTTGACTAACTAGTTAATTGATTGGAAAAACAATGTGGATGAGGTAACATTTTTATTGGACCAATTTCTGCTGATGAGAGAGACAAGCTTCTGAAGCACATAGTATTCTTCCTTCTTAACGGTTGTACTGATGTTTCTTTTAGGCTTGCAGCAGGAGCACCCACCAATGGGGAAGTCACTTGTCTTGCATCTTTTTCCTGGAACAGTTCCTCTGAATGTCTAGTCCTTGCTGGGCCTGATCGCTTTACAGCGGGTCCGGTGAAGATTAGCGCAGGTTTGCAGAACAGGTTAGGGGTGGAGAATAGCACTAAACATTACGGCAGCAGACAAGGAATCCTCCTGGCCCTGCAACTGCATGTTGCAGGAAGCATTTCTGGGGCGTCACTGCTCTGCTTGTGGGTGGACTGTGAAGCTTCTCGTGCTGAATTTAAAGCCATTGCTGCCAATTGTTTCCACTGCTGCCGCCTGCCTGGCTCGCTGAGGAAATCTCTGTTGAGCAGGAAAGGTTGATTTGAAATTCCACTCCCAAAGCCTGCCTGTCTGCTCTGTGTCACTGTTTGTCTGGATTTCCTCCGTGCTGGGGAGGGGAGGAGCACACGTTTGCTTTCTAGGATTACTTTACTTCCTTCCTTTCACTTTAAGAGATGAAGCCAAGCCCTGCCTGTCTGCTCTGTGTCACTGTTTGTCTGGATTTCCTCCGTGCTGGGGAGGGGAGGAGCACACGTTTGCTTTCTAGGATTACTTTACTTCCTTCCTTTCACTTTAAGAGATGAAG